ACTCCCTGCTAGCTAGCACCCAGGCAGCAGAGGCCCACTGCAGGACCCCAGGGAGCAGCAACAGTTTGCTGCCATTAGCAGCAAATCTGCTCCCATGCCCCTGCATGTGTAGACGCCTGCCCAGGATCGTTTACATGCAAGTAAACTGGTTCCAGATCAAATGCATGTGTAGACACGCCCAATGATTGCAGAATAGTTAATGGATCAAGGCTCTCAGCTTCCTCAAAGAATGACCTTCGCTTTTGGAATAACTGTGTTCCTGTGGGATAAAGCACATCACAAAGCACAGGGCAAAGCACATGAGACTGAAAAGATTCTCATTCAAGAGCATCCAGCTACTAGGAAACACTGCAAAACCATCTCCTTCCAAAATCCCCTCCACCATAACATACACAATTAGACTTAAATGAAGAATGGTTTTGCTTTGCCTTGTCTGCAGATGTGAAAGATCAAAACAAAATTTCATTTCAGCTTAATCTGAGGATAATTTTGATGTTTTGATGTTTTGACCCTGTACACACAACTAGATACTTTGCTATTGTTGCTATCACTCAGAAGATACTCAGCCATTACAGTGATAGACAGCGGCTTAACATTTGAATAAAGATTAATAGTTCTCAAAAATTTTACCTAACTTATTTTCCCCCAGGACTTTACATGCACCAAATGGCACAGACTGGCAAGTGTTATCAAAGCATTTTCCTGAGGGAAGTTATCCCTCGCTGCCATGAAAATAATTTTGTTCAGCCAAACTCTGAGAGCAAGAGAGTAACTTCAGAATAACTGAACAAGCCGCTGTGTTGAAACTTTAAGCGAAGCAGGGAAGCTGAATCTGTTTTAAGCTCTTGGTACCATACATGGACTTCAGAAACTTTACCACAACAGCAGATAATTAAAAATAGCCGGCAAGGCTTTCTCAGTTTACATCCAAAAGTAGCTCTTTTGTTTCACTGTCAATTATCTCTATTATGCCTCAGTAAGATTCCTGACGAAAACAAGTCGAGCTGATTCTGCATGTGATATGATCGACACTGCTTTCTTAAACTCCACAGTGTACCTGGTGGGACCTTGCAGACTAATTTGATGGATTCTCTCTACAATGCTGAGCACATTTTCTCAACCTCACATGGACATGACTAAAAACCAACAATCATGGGAAGTGTACAGTTAACAAAGCTCTTTGGAGCAGTTCTGTGAATTGCATTTCCAGCCTTGGAGAGGAAACCTTATTTAGCATACTCTCCCCCACTGTCCCTCTTCTCCTGGCAGTTAAATATAGGAGAAGAGATTGTGGCATTTATGACAGCCGTAACCAAATACATTGAAAAAGACTCAATTTGACATCCTCCATTGAAAACTGCCATCTTAATAAAACTGTAAGGCAGCTGATGTGGATAGCTCAGGGGTTAAACAGTTTTTTACAAGAGCCCAAAGTCAAACCCAAACAAATGTTGAGCTTGGATTACATGGATGTGATTTAAGATTTCTAAACATAAAATTGTAACAATGGGTGGAATTAACAGGCCAGCATTTATGATATTAATGTAAAGCATGAAAATATCACTGTGTAGTGGGGAAACAACAGTGCTATTGGCACAGCTGATAATCTCTTATTCTCACCGATGAGCAGTAAATCAATGCTTATGACTTGGAGCAAGCAGCCCTTCATTAGGCACTATAAAAGGGCTTGATTTACTGTTTGATTAAACCATCTTCTGCCACCTGAAAGCAAGCACCGTGGGAGGGGTCTGCATTACCAGGGTACCTACACCCCATCTTTTCATGCATGGTGAGGGGGGAACTATAGCTAGGATACCTACGAAACATGCTGAACTGTGGCCACTTCCTTCGGTGGCAACCTCAGCTGCTGTATAAAGCTGCCCTGCCTGCAGAGATCAATCCCTCTTGGGGTCGTTCCAGCCCAGGTTTGAGGGTGACAGAAATTGCCTCCCACCCTTGCATCCTTCAGAGTGCAGCTGAAGCATTGTGTGGGGCCACAAAATCCAGTGGGATTTTAATGATTACTGTTACATATTATCTTGCTAAAGGCTTAAAACCTTGTTTGTGTTTGCAGTTGCCCCTTTACAAACCTCTAGCAGTTTAAAAGGGTCTTACAATGGATGCACTTCTGTGTTTCTTGAAGATGGGGGAGCAAATGGGGCTACTGTTCTACCTTGCATTGGGTTGAGCCTGCAGCCCCCCATGATTTTCTGCAGGTTTCTTAACTTAAAACTGGCTTTGCACAAAGCTGGTAGCAATGTGCAGAAAGGGCTAAGATGCTCTTGGAGCATGTTGTGTGTCTTGGGGAGAAGCATGAAATGATGCAAATGTATGTGATGTAATTTTGGAGTCAATTATTCCCATTGGATTGTCCCTGGGGTTTGAGCCTTGGAAATGTGTGCCTCAAAACCGGGAGTTGCAGGCCCTTAAGTCTCCTCTGTTATTGCTGTGAGTTACATGTATATACTGTATTCTCCTTTGTCTCTTTATTGTATAGCCCCTCTCCTTCTCTGTAAGTGCTGCTAGTCTTGACTATCCAACTGGACTTTTCCCAGAGCCACATACACCTTACAAGGTACCCGCAACCCATACGGAGTCCACCAAGAGCTGATAGACTGCAAGAAACCGAAGGAAATTTCTCCAAGGGATATAGTCTTCTAGGTCCAGTAGACATTTGAAAAATATTGTTTGAACCCACCAATTTTCTCCTTTCCAGATTAAGGCCCCACAATGTTCCCAGCATCCAGCATGGACTCTTGTAGCTGTAAAATCCCAATATCCAGATTGTCACATTGTTTTTTCTTTCTTCACTTTTTCCTCCCCTCTCTTTTGAGATAACAAGAGTGCCCAAGGCAGAGAAAATCTATCAAAGGGGGGAAAATCAGGGGAATGGGAATTAGAGAAGTCCTTTTGAGTGCCAGAAAGATCTCATTATTGGAATTTGTTTTCACAATTTGTTCCAAGGCTGGTAGAAACCAGAAGTTTCAGTAATGTGGTCCTTGGGTTTATTTCATAATCAGGACATCCAGACTCTTGTTCTCAGTATAACTTTTAAAGGTAGATGAAGAGAGGTAATTAAATTTGCTACAGGCTGAAGGTTATAAATTCAGCTGGTGAAATTGATACAGCTCCATCAAAGAGCCAACTCAAGTGGAACTGTTTCAAGGGAGTTACACTAATTTACACCAGCTGGAAGCCTGGCCCAGCAGGAGGGAAGGAGCAAGGGCTTGCTCAATGACACAAGTGTAAAAGGAAATATATATATTTAAAGGTCTAGTGCTGATTAGAAAAAAATATCGGCATTCAACAGGACTCCAACCTAAAGCGCAGTGGAGTACACAGAAGGAATCCCACTGCCTTAAGTAGCCTCTAAACCAGACTGTTGAATAGGATTCACACTTAACATAGTAGTTAGTTGTGGGAACTTGGAAATGGTTTTAGTCCACTGTGCTAGTACAGCACAGTAATTCTGTTCAGCAGGGAATCTTTTGATATGTTTGAGCACAAGCATGCCTTGCTTTTCAATACTTTGTTGTGAGCTTTCCTTTTAGTAGAATAAACCCGAACAAATCATGCTGTAATGTGTTTGAAGCCGACTCTGGTTTTTTGTTGGGTTTTTTTTTGCCAGCATGTGTTCTTCAAGGACTGCAGATGGCTGGGGATGGCACGCATGAAAGCAATTAGATCCACAGTTGTTGTTTGGCAAGCACCAGTGAGATTCACCTATCAGCATCTTATCTCACATAATTCTCATCTGCAGAAGTGTTGTCAACACTGTGGATTGGGCATATTGCTCTGAGAGCTGAGTGATTATTTGCAAGAAATAATTTAGCCACCAAATTTAGCTGCTTTTTCTGCGGAGAATATGAGCTCTACCAGCTGTCACATTCTTCAGACTGTATACACTACTCACAATATTTTTGCTGTGCAAATTTTGCTTCTCTCTCTGTAGATCATATTAAATCTACAAATTTAGCTGTCTACAGATTGATCAAAAGTCACTCTATGCAACTGTTTGCTATTCTAAATACATGTTGCATTGATTTACTGTGATTGGCCATATAAGTCACATTGAGTTATTTCTATAATCTTAATGGAAGAGTTTGCTATCTTTTCTGGTACAAATACTGTACTTGAATGCAAGCCTGATGGCTTATCTTCCTGAGGTACTTGTGCTCCTGCTTTTGAAATCACCTTTTGGTGGATAATTCTGGTAAATACAATTTACTGACATGAATGTTTGCAATGGGTAAAAACTGCCTCCCTGCAGACAGCCCAGGTCTACTCTATTTCAAATGAGACTTAAATGTTGCACTTTAGTGGCCCCTGGACAGAAATGAATATCTCTTGTTTGTACTTGTAAAATTCTTTCTGTAATGGTGGCTAAAGGAAACTAATCTATACATTCATGTGAATGTTAACAGATGTTGAATATCTGTCCATCTTCTGTCATTCAAATCCCAAACCTCCTGGTTTTACATTCCTGTATTTCCACTCGCACTAAATGCCAGGTAGAAGCAAGAGGGTCAGAGTGTCAGCTCTCAGGATATATGAATCTTGCCATGCGGTGTTTATAGGTTGCAGACTTGCAAAGGTGGGGAGGGAGAGATTGTGACTGCCTGCACATCTCATCTTTCATTTAAAAAAAATGTAAGTCTCTAAGTATTTTAAGTTTTGGCAGCACCTAGGCCAATGGGGTCTGGCCTGTGACTGGCATTTACATGCAAATACTAAATGATAATTATAACCACTGCTCTCCAGTGATGCAAAGGCAATCCTGAAAATATTACCTTCAAGAACCTTGAAGGCTCTGAAATGAGAAGATAAAAATTGCTATAGAAACAAAAAGCCATTCTAATATTGAATATCATAATTCTTTAATATTGGGATTGGTGATACAGGGAGATTTGGACTGTTTCTGCTTTGTGTCCTTTCCCAGGCTGTCATTTGTCTGTGTTTTCTAATGTTTGATCATGGCTTCACATCTTTGTTTATTCTAGGATCAGTGCAAAGATGTCCTTGGGACTGTAACCTGTACAATCCAGCGTTGGAATTGGTATGTGTGCACTTCGTACGGGTGGGCAGGGGAATGGTGTAAATGAAAGTGTGGTATGTTCAGACTGAAAAAGTGTTTGCTCCTTCTCTCTCTACCCATCCCAATATTATTCTACAGTTGTTATGTTCTTTCCTTTGGACTTATTTAGGCCAGGGCCTGGGGAAAAAAAGGAAGCACATTTGGAAGTCAAAGTCCCCTAGATCTCTTACAAAAAAAGATTATAAAGTCGTGGTCCAAAATATTTAAGCTGAAATGTTTTTCACTATTCCTATGGAACTGATAGATCCTATGCAACAGATATAGATACATTAGAGAGAGAGAGGAAGGACATGAGATGGGACACACAATCCTTTTAATATTCAGTTGGCTAACTGGCATTTTGCTTCAATGAGTATTTGCAGGGAACTGTCATTTTGATGAAGAATGCATGAGGCTGCTGTTGCAAATCTGTGTACTGCCCAGCTTTTAATAAGCAAGCCAGTATCCCATTCTCATTTCCAACCTTCCTTAATGTTTGCATGTAATTAGGATGACAATAAGTTCTTGTTCCCATCAGAAACAGCCTATTCAGCTGACGTGTTTCTGGTGCTTTGCATGACACTGGCTTTCCTATTGTTAACTTTTATTCTTGGAAAAACTTACAAGTCTCAAACTAGGCTCTAGGGTTGGCAAAAGCCTTTCAAGGACTTGATGTGAGTGGGCCTAATATGGGTTATAAACAGAGCTGTGTGGAAAACAGTTTTTCTGTCCAGCAAAACTTTTCTAGGTTTAAAAATTATTTCTGTTCTGTATCAGGATGAAACCAAGAACTTTCAATATTCTGTCCCCCCTCCCCACCCCCATGCCCCTGAAAAAAAAAAAGCCAGAAAGATTTGCTCCAGAATAGCAAATAGCCTTGTGGGCAGGCTACTCACCTGGGGTGTGGGAGAGGCTAATGTAAATCCTTGCCTGATTTTAAGCAGGGACATAACCCCATGAAGCCCCAGCCAATATATGATTGTCTATTTTGCAAGAGGTCTAAATCTACAGCCCAGTGGTTAGGTCTGAGTGTGGGAAAATAGAGGAGTAGGGATGTAAGCCTAGCACTCCCACAGCCCAGGTGAACAACCTGACCCCAGCCTGTTGGCCAGCAGCGGTTTCATCTTTCTTCTTTTGATGCGACACGCCTTAACCTGCAAGACCTTTCCTGGCAAAAGTTTAACTGAACTAGAATGCTCTCACAAAACATTGGACAAATAGGTGTTTTCTAACCTAAAACCAGTTTGTGGAAACAGGCCTTGACCAACTCTCCACTTGAACAGCCTCCCTCCCCACAGGTTTTGAGGTGAGCATTATGACATTTGTCCACAGAGGGCAAAACTTCATAGTTTTGGCTGAGTTTTGCTTCACTTGAGCGTAAAATGAAAGCACTCATATGCAAACTAAAATACAGACCAGACTTATCAGCCCTTTGTGGGTCCAAGCAACCACATTCTGGACAAGCTTGGCACTTAATACATGTATTCCTATCCTTCAAATTGAGTTCTAGCTTTCAGAAGTACTTGGAGCTGGGGTATTTTTACTTGCATCTCCAGGGGTAACAGATTCAATACGAGAAACTTTCTGCTGAGAATTACAACTGTCAAACACTTAAGGATTTTCTCCCAGATTGTAACAAACACTGATAACATTCATTTTCTGGTAGCAGAAGAGTAAAAGCAGGAACAACAAAAGGTTTTTTATATACATTGGTATTTGGAAGCTCACAGTGTTAGTGTGCTTTTGGGTTTCCGAAAAAGCAATTCACTGCAGGCAGGCAATGCAGATACAATATCTGAAGAAGAAATCCCTGCCTTGCTTTTAGTTTTGATATCACAGTTCTCTTATTTTGTGCTCAAGTATCTCAACAAAGCTCTGAAATCAAGAGGTATTCATGGAAGTGACAAACAGGAGGCAGGTGCTGCTGGCTGAATTGCTCAAAAGAACATTAAAAACCCCTTTGAATTCAACTGCCAGTGAAAAACGTATTATTATGGGGGCTAAACAGTCTCTCCATTTAATAAATTTAGGCAAAGCACCTGGAAGCAACATGCATTGTCAGATTCCTGGCAAGGCATTCACATGAAAGTCACTGAACTGCATCTCACCTACAGTTCAAACAGCTCTGCATACCCTTATTTATGCCACCCCCTAAGGATCCTTGCTAAGGATTTTTCAAAGAAGCTTTTACACTGAAATAAACAATCCCCCAAACGACTGCCAGGCAGCTGTTGCTTTAAAATTCCCTGGCTATAATAAAAATAGACTTGAGTTTCTACAAAATGCAAGACTACCAAGACTTAGCTTTTCCTTGCATACACACACGTGTGCACACATACGTGTTCTATACCGTAACATCTGTAAAACATTTTGTCTGATCTTTGTCAACTGAAATGCTGGTTTGAATACGATGCTTAATGACACTTTAAAATCAAAATCTTGCATCTTTCAGCTACAATGGGAAAAAAGGCTCTATGAACGTAAAAACATCTCCAGTAATGACCTCAGAGCCAGCAATTTCTCTGAGAAAGGTGACTACATCTTCTCTCCAAGTTTATTTTGCTCAAGCTCTGCAGAAAGGCCCTGTGTGTTGAGGAAGGAAAAGGTTGGGAAGGAGGGAGGGTAAGGACTGCAGGTCTCTTACCTCTGCTGCTGGCATACAGGATCACCAGGGCGACCACAGCACAAGTCATGAGAAGCAGCAGCACGGACAGACCGATGGCCACAAAGCTCCGGGATTTTTTCCCAGATTTCGTTGATTTTTCTACAATATCCATTTGACTTTCTGATTTCCCCATTATTGTAACTCTAAAACAGGATGGGGAGAGGGGGAGAAAAAAAATTAATCACACAGCTAGCTCAGCAGGAGAGCAAAATGCATAGCTGATCAGGCAGAGAGGAGGCTATAGAATGCCACTAGACAGACGGGCAGACAGAGAGACAGATGGAAATAAAACATCAGAATAATTACATGTATTTGTCCATTTGATTGTCCACAGATTTCCCAACCTCATTCTCCATTTCTAGTGCCTACAGAACCGACAGCGCGCGCTGGGGACTCTTTCACGCTCTGTTTGCCTAGATCCAGATGGAGCAGTGTCCTAACGTACAGTCTTCCCTGGGAAGTGTAAAGAGAGTCTCATGATCTGTTTGGGCAACTCCTTTTCCCCCAAAAGACAGTCCCAAAGGCAAAGGAGGGTGAGTGACTGCCCCTTCTTCTCCCCACTTCGAAGAGTGTCTTGTGGTTTCCAGGACCTTCCCGAAGAACTTTTCTCTGAGGATCCAGGTACCTCCACCAAGCTCTGCTAAAAGCAGTAGTATCCAAAGGGTGCCAGTCTCGGTGCTGTGCTTGCCTTCCCCTGGGCAGAGCAGGATGATTCAGAAGACGAAAGCCCCCCAGCATAGGTGGCAGGCTCCTGGTTCATGAAGGCTTCCACCCTCCAGCCTTGCAATCTTCCCAGAGCCATTCCCAAACTTCTGAACTCGGCTGTGCTGTGTTCCTAGCTTCGAGCAAATGATCCTGAGCAGCAGGGGGAGGAGGGGTTGCTTCGCAGAGACAGACTGAGGGCTATGTACTCAGAAAAGCGAGCAGCCAAGATCCTGCTAAGTTCCCTCATGCTTTCTAGGGATCTGCTTGCCTTTCCCCTCAGCCCCTGGGCTCAGCAGCCTGCTGGGGTTATTCAGGGGAAGAAGAGGGATGATCTGTGAAGAGAAGACCTCCCTGCTGGGAGGGTACTCGGGATTTTGGGTTGCGATATATTGGGTTGCTTCCTCTGCCTTGAAAACACATTTATTCCAGGATTGAAATGTAGATTGCACAGCGGTTCCCAGACTCACAGGATGATTTGTAAGGGAAGGAGGGACCAGGTTGGACATATGGCTTCCCTTTGATTTTTTTTTTCATGTTTACAATCCAAATGTGCAGCACTGATACTGGAACGGTGGGAGCTGGGGGTCATTCCCCCCCGCCAATAAACTGTTTAAGAACAGCATAGGTTGACTGTTATTGGTACTCTGACCCAAGCATGCAGTCAATATTCATGATCTGATAGGTATTTTCCATCAAGGAGAGGGTCACACATTTCTCTGATATGAAACCGGTTTAAAAAGTAGAGATGTACCAAGTCCTGTTTTCCTAATCGCAACAGGAATCAGACTGCAGGGGACAATTTCCTTGCTCAGTGCCTCAAGCCTCTTCTTCCACTCAGCGGTTCATCAAAAAGCACTCTTTTCTGTTTTTCTCGAGGGCTCACTAAAAGAGCTCTTCCACACTTTGCTACATGCCTCCCCTGTTTCTTTCATGCTTCTTAGCTGGTTGATTGCTTCTCTCACTCTCTCTCTCATACACACACTCAACCCAGCTTCACCAAAACAATACCCTTTCCTTTACCTTCAGCCTCCTACCAGCATAGTTTGGCTCTTGACTGGCCTTGCATATGGCCTGTATTTTCTGTGGTGGCTCCAATTGCTTCAGTTATATTACTCCAAAAGGAGCTTAACCTCTTCTTATACTTATCCTGAATAAATCTGCAATGAGGTTTCACCCAGCCCCAAGCACAGTGGTGTCCAGGGATATGTAGGCAGTGTCAGAGTAAGCCTGCCATTGGCAGAGTAAGTCATGCTGATGGAGAGAGGGAGAGATGTGGCTAGTACTTTCTGGATGCCTTTGACTCTCAGTTCACATGACAAAGATGTCCTTTCAACATCAGATTGACAGGGAGGCCTGTGACATGAGTCTAGAATGAGGCTCGAGGGTGTATACAGAAGAGAGACAGATAGAGCTTCAGAGGGAGCACTTTCCCTTTTCCTGTTGCAATTCCCTACCTCAGAGCTAATTTGTAAAATAACTTTTGTCCCAATCCTTTTAGTTACTGCAGTCAATGGGAGTTCAGCACCCAAATAACTTTAAGGAGCTGGGCCTTAGTTACCTCCTTTGTTTTTGTAACAACTTGAGGGGGACATTTCCAGTGTACTGGGCACTTTTCCCAGACTAAAACCTTTGTACATAAGAACAGGGGTGTTTTAGGTTCTACAGATACAAATTAAAAAAAAAATACTTATAGCTAATGCTCCAAACTCTTGCAGCGTGAGCACCCAAATGCGATCATTTGATCAGAACTTAATGCTAGGTAATGGCACTCCTCGTCAGGGTTTGGATGGGGACAGTTCATGCCTGGAACATCAACAGTGGTCAGCCTTGGAAGTTATCAGCTGTCTTAGGGAATCATATATTGTTATGTGACTATTTACATTATTTTCAGTAGTGAACTTATGAAAATAGCAAGCTACTCTGACCCACCTACTAAAACAAATCTGGCAGTCAGCCTAAGAACAAATACGGTACATGCTAGGAATATTTTTCAAGAAATCAAGTTGCTTCCACATGCCTTTTTTCCCTGTGTCAGCATCAGTATTGGCCAATCCTGTTTTAAAATTCATTATAAGGCAGAACAAGTATTTAGGATTGTTTTAACTAAGGCTGTAATAAAGATGTACCTGGAGGTACATGAAATATCTGTGACAAATAGCTGAACACCCCATTAACACACCCTTTCTAACCCTGGTATTGTATGATACTCACAGAAAATGGTTAATAAACTCAGATGGGATGGCCCTAATAGAGCTTGTAGCCAGTAAAGTGACTCATCATTCTTAATCTGTTGGTGAAATAACCTGCTAAGTAGTTTAACTGAAACAATTATAGATGACTCAGGCAGCCATTGGCTAATTTAATACCAATGATCCTTAGAAGCAACCTTTATGCCTCTTGACTCAGTCTGGCATGTGTGGTACGTCTTCGGTAAAACAGAAAAGAAACATATTTTTTCCTTACTTAAACTCACCTCCAAGGAGAGAGAAACAGAACTGTCATTAAAGTCAGTTCACAGGAATCATGATAATATATAGCAGGGAATGAAATTATGCTTTTAATCTGATACATTGAGCATAGAGATAAATATTCATTTTTTAGACTCATTGGTAAGCATGGTGTTATCATTATTTGTCTTATTGATTAGGACATGGCATAGTTTCAGTTAGAACTGGAGTTTGACTTGGCATGAGCTATAAACTAAAATAAGAACGACAGAGATATTGATGCTACAGGTAAAGAGATCTTGACACTTATGCTGTGTATGTTTTTGATTTAAGACGGACTACTAAATTTAACAAGACTGCTAAATTGTTTTGCTTTAAAGAGAAAAAAATCCCTCATCATGCTGTAGCAGGAGAGGGACCAGAAATTGTAAAGGACACATCTGCAGAATCATTAATTCTTTTGATCTTGAACAACTTCTCCGTGGTCACTGGAATAGCGTAATCAGTCATTCCGACAGTTCTCCAACAGGGCAGTGATGCCCCTTTTCTGTTCATTGCTTCTGAGGGAAAGGACTTATTTTGGTCTCTGACAGAGCATCAATATTACCTTGTAGCCCTCATGGCAAAAGCAACATCATAATGCAAGCCATTGATAGCATTTTTCTCATATGCAGAACTTTTTGCCCGTTCATGAAAGAAGTTCAGTGTCATTATCCCTCTTGCAGAGATGGGAAGACCAAGGGGTAAAGAGGCGCTGTGTCTTGGTACCTGGTGAAAATGCAGGTCACTGACAGAGTTAGTTACTCTCGTCTTCTTTCTGGTCCAGGTTACTCCCTGGGTCTAGTCTTTTACCATTGAAGATGTAAAACCAGTTGTTTTAAAGAAAATGAAACGTTAAGGAGAAATCAAATGAGGAAAGTTTCTTTTCTAAAAGTCCTTGTTCTGTTAGAGTTTTCGCTTGCTGGAAAGTTTACACTCCAAAGAAGGATCTGGAAGTCTTGGTAGATTCAGTGTGAATCTATAGCATGATGTAGTTGCACAAAAAGCAACTGTGGCTTGGGGATGCATTAATAGAGGCATTAGCTACAAGACGTGGGAGGTGATAGAGCACTGGTTAGCTTTCATCTAAATCGGGGGCACTCAACCTCTGGCCTGCAGGCCGGATGCAGCCTGCAGAACCATCACAGCTGGCCCATGGGGCTCCCCACAGGTCTGGAAATGTGGTAATGGGGGAGCAGTGGCCAGTAATATGAGCACCCTCCCAACTACCAACTCCCCAAGCTACAATTTCTGCATGGCTGGTCTGAGCCCCTTTCTCTCTCCATGAGGCTACCCTTCCTTCCTACAGGGCCAGGCCCAGCTCCTTTTCCCCTGTGGGGCTATGTTGGGCTGCCTTGCCCCCTGCCCTCCTCTGCACAGCTAGATGGTGCCCCCCACACCCACCCCAGGCACCAGATCAGGACCACTAGCTGGATCTGGCTCGTGGATGGATTGGACACTGCTAATTTGGCCCACTGTGGGGAAGGATTTCATAGTTAGTAGGGTCGGAAGGGACCTGAGCCGATCATCAAGTCCGACCCCCTGCCATGGGCAGGAAAGGATGCTGGGGTCAAACGACCCTGGCAAGGTGTCTATCTAGCCTCCTTTTAAAGACCCCCAGGGTAGGGGC